TTTATATATCTTACAGGCTTTGTTAGGTATACAGTCATGTTTATGAAGTTTTTCTTTCAAAATTTTGATAGTTTTCCTATCATAAAATTCAGTTTAATTTATGTATAATTCAGTGACTTTTAGTATCTGCTCAGTGGCACACAACCATGTCACTATACAGTTCCAAAATGTTTTAATCACTCTAAATATAAACCCACTTATTAGCAGTCTCTATTGCCCCAATATACAGCCTTAACAATCACCAATCAACTCTTTTCCCCTATGGATTTGCCTATTTTGGACATTTCATATAAATAGGATCATACAGTATGTGGCTTTCACTTAACATATAACATGTTTAAGTTTCATTAACATAGCATGGTTCCTTCCTTTTTTTTAATTGAGTTTATTGGTACAATCTAGCTATACCATACAGTTACATTCATCATTGGGATTCTGTACCTTTACATAATAGGTCTTGATTCTCATTTTTCCCCTTGTCCCTGCCCTCCCTTCACCCCCTCCTCCCCTCCCCATTTACAAACACTTCATTTCCATTTTTTCAGTTTCTCATATTTTTTTCCTCTCCCTTATTACTTTTCCATGGTTCCTTCCTTTTAATGCTGAGTGATATTCCATTGTATGGCTATAGTACTATTTGGTTATTCATTTGTTGCTTGATGGGTATTTGTACTGTTTCTACTTTTTGGTTGTCATCAATACTGCAGCTATGAACATCTGTGTAAAGATTTTTATGTCAATATGTTTCTAGTTCACATGGGTATATATCTAGGAGTGGAATTTTGGGGTCATATGGTAACCATATGTGTAATCTCTCAGGGAATGCCAAATTATTCCCAAAGCAGCTGCATCGCTTTACATTCTTTTCACTAGGTTATGAGGATTCTCATTTCTCCAGTGTGAACACTTGTAACTGTCTTTCGATTACAAATGATACAGTAAAGCAGTATCTCGTTGTGCTTCTGATTTGCATTTCCCTAATGATGAATCATGCTGAACATCTTTTCACACTACTGTCATTTGTGTATTTTCTTTGGAGATGTTCTTTAGTCCATGTTAAACTGGCTCTTCATTGTTGAATTATAAGGCTTCTTCATATATTCTGAACACTGTACTCTTACATGATCCCTAAAATAGTTTATCCTATCCAGGGCAGATGTCTTATCACTTTCTTGATAAGTGTTTTTTGAAGCCTAAATTGTTTTGATTTTGATGAAATGCAATTTATTTTCCCCCCTTTGGTTGTTTCCTCTTTTTAGTGTCACCTCTAAGAAATTAGTGCCTAATTTAAGGTCATGAAATTTATGGTTATTATTTTCCTAAGAGTTTCATAGTTTTAGCTCTTAACAGTGGATTTTAAAAAAATAGTACTGGGAATTGAACCCAGGGTTAACACTGGAGCTGCATCACTACATCTTTTTTAATTTGCAATACCAGTCTATGTTGCCCAGATTGGCCTTGATCCTATTTCAGCTTTCTGAGTAGCTGGGATTACATGTGTGTATCATCACATTCAGCTCCTTTGTTGTTGGGTGTTGGGTATTTGTCTCAGTAACAGGAAATTCATTAGAGACATCGGTCTGTAATTTTCTTGTAAAACATTCTTAATAGCAGAATCATGCTGACCTCACGAAATGAGATAATAGTGTTTCTTACTGTTCTATTATCTGAAAGAGTAGATTGGTACACTATCTTACATGTCTGAAAAAACTCATAGGTGTAGTCACCTGAGCCTAGATTTCTTTTGTGGTAAATTTATTTTTCTTACAAATTCAATTTCATAAATAGATACTGGGTTATTTAGATTTTTTTTCCACCTGTGTCAGTTTGTTTTTATTTTGGTGGTACTGGGGATCAAACCTAGGACCAAGCACACGCATTGAGCTATACTACTAGTTCTCATGTTAGTTTTGGTAATTGTATTTTTTAGAAAGCTGTGTATTTCGCTTAAATTGCTGAATTTACTGACATAAAATTCTTCGTGGTATCCCTTTAATATTTATATAATCTCAGAATTTTCATTAAAGGGTAAATTTCTGTACACTATAATGAATCAAGAAAAAAGAAATGTGTATCATACAGAACAAAAAGGATATATGTATGTGAATGTTAATATAAAGCAGGGAAAATAATCCAGGGGTGGAAAGGAATTATATGATAGTACGACAAATATTATTTGAGGCACATGGAGAACACATAAGAAGAAAGGACATGAGTTCAATTAAGAGAATCAAGATGGCCAACTAGTGAGTTAGCTGGCTTATCTACAGATAAATATTATCAAATTTATAGCAAAAGAAAAGGCCAAGACTCAGATCCCCAAGTTACCTACCTGTAAAGGCCTGCAGTTAATTGGCTCTTCTTTTCCTGGCACAGCTTTTTAATTAAAAATAAAACTCTTCATAAGAAAGGAAAACAAACTCACCTAAACAAGGTAGAAAATTTCAAAAAATAAACTTCGATTTTGACATTCTTCCAAATCTTTTTGTACACACACACACACACACACATACACACTCATATACATGTATCTACATATACATGTGCTATGTATGCTCATCTGTAGGCTGCTTTTTTCTTAGGGAAAACCCAGCATGTATTATTATTATTATTTTTTTTTCCTGGTACTGGGGATTGAATTCAGGACCTTGTGCTTGCCAGGCAGGCACAGTGCCACTGAGCTAAATCCCTGCACCCCAGCCTATATTCTGTGGACATATTTTGATATAAACACAATTTAAAAACGCTTTTAATGGGTTGAGTATTTCATCATATGCAGGCACCCTGATTTTTGTGTTCTACTGATGTTAACTTCTAAAAGCATTTATATTACATAAAAAAGTCATGGCAAACAAAATCCTTATGCATCTCTCATTTTTCTTTTCCTTCATGCCTAAGAAATGAGATTTTTGGGGCAAATACTAATGCATATTTTAAATTTTGGTAAACAAGATTGTACCAATTTCATCTTCAGACCAATACTACACAGTAGGTATTCCCACATGCACACCAATACTGATAGACAAAAAAGATGTTTGGAAATTGTACATCTTTTCATTTATCAATTGGGTGTTTTTCTTGGCTTAGGAATATCCTATTGATAACTCTTTCCAGTTTTTATTATTTGGGGCATTTCAGGTTTTTTTTTTTTTTTTTAAACAGGGTCTCACTGTGTAGCCCAAGCTGACCCCAAATTCATTATCCTCATGCCTCAAACTCTAGAGTGCTGGGATTACAGGTATGTGCCACCATGCCCAGCTTCTTTAATAATTGTTTTTTTGGGGGTTCGGTTCTAGGGATTGAACTCAGGACCTTGAGCTTGCCAGGCAAGTGTGGCACCACTGAGCCACATCTCAGACCTTTGGGACATTCAGGTTTTTAACTGATTTTGTAAGAACTCTTTGTATACTAAGAATACTTTTTTTCTTTTATTGCAAATGATGCACAGTTTTTAACTTTGTAGGCAAGTTACAATCTTCATATGTTTAAATTTATAATTTTTTTCCTTTTAGTTTCTAGTTCTTGTTTCATACTTGGAAAATCCTAGGTAACCTCAAGAATACTATTGCATTCACCTTGTCTTCCACCTTTAGTTTCATTTGGTAACACATCTAGCATTTATTCTGGTGTGAGAAATAAGACAGACTAAAAGCTTTTCACTGATTAGTCATTTCGCTGATGATCTCACTGAGCACAGATTTACAATGTAGTTTACTGGTTACTAAGAGTGTTGGAGATGTCTAGCTTCAACATTTTTAAGTAATGGCTCTGGGAAACTGTACAATATAGAAACAATTGTACTTTCATTATAGAGTTGGAAAGGGGCAGATAATCAGAAAAAGTGCTTCAGCACTCGATGCCTAAGTTCTTACTAGATGTGAGCTTTTATTATCAATACTAAACACACAAATAGCATTTTATTTCTGGACACTATTCTGTGTATATATCTGTCACATCTCATTTATAAAATCTTTCTAGTAACACTAACCTTCCTTTCTGATGGTCTTTTCTTTCAACAAAATATCACATTGCATTTGTTTTTTCTAAAGGACCTGAATATAGTAACTTGCCAAGTAAAAATAAAGTGTGATTTAAACAGTGAAAATCACAACTCAAACATAAACAAAGGCACTGAACAAATGTGGAAGAGAGGGTGCCTGTTTCCCTTACCATCTATTCTGAAAGAGTACATCCTTCAATATATGTTCCTTTGGTTACAAATATTACTGTCAAAGCTGGTGCCCTTCCACCTCTACAGCCCGAAGACAAGTAGTTGTCCGAGTAGGCCGAGTAGGCCCTGAGATTTGGAGCAGGAGTGATTTCCTCCTGGGTCCTGGTCCTGACTCCGGGCTCTCTTATGACGAACTGAGCCCTTTGAGGACTGATGCCCCAGGGCTGGCATGGGGAAGAGACGAGTTGGGAGCTGGAAAACATGCCAGACAGGAGACGGCAGACGGACAGAAGTGGCCGGACCATTATCCTCGAAGTCTTCAGACAAGGAGGGGCTCGGGACGCGCGGCAGACGACCGGAGATGCCTCGTTCTGCGGCCCCAACAGGAAACAGTTTCTTGCTCCGAGGAGCGTCGCTCAGGCTCCTGGAGGTGAGGACTTCCAGTTCCCCTGGGCAGCCTCCCTTTGGCTGTTTGCGCGCCTCCCGCCTCCAACGGCTCCCCGAGCGGCGCGCGGGGCTCTGTGACGTCACGTAAGGGCGGGACTTCCGGTCTCCGCGCGCCACAGAGTCTCAGGGCCCTGCGCTTCGGCCTCGG